GTGGAACGAGATGCGAAGGCCATCAAACTTCACGATTAGGATAATACCGGACGGTGATTGGTGCAGTTTGGTTCCAAGAAGGTCCGTGATTGGCTAGCAAATAGACTTGATGTTTGTAAGGGCTTCGGTTTCGCCTTCGATAACCGATTTCGGCTTTCGGTGATGCTCACGGCGCATCGGCGGAAGGCGGTCATCGTCCAGCAAATGGTTTCGCGCTATAAGACACGCCGAAGATCACAGTGTAAATGTATAGGCGGACTTTGTTCCGGTCATGGAGCCGCCGGACGATGTGCACTGGTGGGAAGCCCGTGCGCGCGTCGTGCAAGAGTGGTTGCGCGCCAACCCCTTGCGCATCGGTCTTCCGGACGACGGGACCATCGAGGTACCAATAAGATCTCGATGGATCCTCGTTCACCGCATGTGCATAGACCATTACGCAGCAGCTCACGCGCGGCGACAAGTACATTCATGTTCGCGTCAAGGCGTGGAACCACATTGGTACACGCTTCTTCGGAACCATAAGTTCTTAACGTTAACGTAGTCACGGAGCTGCAAGGGATTCCGGGCGTCTGTGAGAAATTTGCCACATTCGAGACCAGCCCCGAGCTGCCGATGGCCACTGTGGTCGTCGATGACGAGGATGAAGACGAGCAAGCTAGCCATACATCGTCGCCGCTGAGCGATACGACTACGGACGAGCCGGCGCCGATCGACGGCGTCGTGCCACTGCACCCAGCGAGTCCCTTTCGTGGCAAGCTGCATCCGACCAAAGCCAAGTCGTTGCACGAACCCGCCAAGGACGACGTGTCCGTCCTCGCACCTGCAACCAATCAAACCGACAAGGCCGACGCACCCCGAAAGTCGATAGCGCAAATGTCCATGATGGAGCGCCAAGAAGAGTGGCTGCGCAAAAAAGCGGAAAAGGCAGCCGCCGAGAAGCAGCGCCAATTGGACGAAGCCGAGAAAGAGCTCACGTTTCAGCCGAGCTTGGTCAAGAAACCAAAAGCACCGGACACGGACGGCGCCAACTCGCCTCGGAAACTCCAGCGCGCCAAGTCGGCCGGGCGCGCCAGAAAATCCTCGGCGCTCTCCAAAGACAAGTCGATCGTGTTGCTCAAACCAGGTGCCAAGTCGGCCACGTCTAAATCGCTCTTGGACTCGGTCAAGTCGGAGCTTGCCGCGTCGACGTCGATGCTGGTAAAGACAGGAGCCACGACAGCCACAACCAGTACCAAGCTGGACGTCGCGGCGGTGACCGAGCGCACGGACGCCACGATTGCCTATGTGGCCGCCGCCCTCGACACGATCAACAAAACGACACTCGCACCGTCGATTGGCGTTGTCAAAGACGCGCCCAAGAGCAATGTCGACGTTCGCGTGTCACAGTTTGACGCCGAGTCGAGCGACGTCAAAGGCCGGTTTCAGCTCCAGGACCCAGCGTTGTTTGATTTAACGTCCATTTACCGCAAAAAAGACAAGTACGCGCGCGTCGATGGCGTGTGCTTGCAGATGGGCCGGCGCGACGACACGCACGAAGAGCAGTTGATCGCGGTCCTCTTTGACCGCGACAAGTTTACGACGGAAGCGACGGCGCAAACATGGTTTAATGACCACAAGGCGCGTCTACAGTCGTACATGTGATTTACAACGTATTTAATCGAATACAAAACACTACACTACTATGAAAGACGACATTTCAGTCTTCTGGTACAAACCGGGATTCGACAATGATATGAGGCGGTTCCAGCCCGATCTGCACCGTATGTGGGCTGTAGAAATGCGTGGTTGTGCTTTGCGATTTTGGAAAAGCGACATCCCAAAAAGAGTAGACTCTGTCTATAAAAGCAATTTTGCTGCCATATTGTCACCCCCTGAGACTCTGTAGTGGAAAAATGCAATGCATTAACTTCAACATTGTAACCAGCAGAGTGTCCCTCTTAGAGAGTCTACTTGTGCTTTCTGTCAAGCTGGCACGTGGGCAGCCAAGCACAAAGCTGAGGAGCGAAGCTACGAAAATGAAGAAGAGGAGGCAAGCGGGAAGCACGCCAGAACAGAACCGAAACAGAAGTGAGAGACCGTGACGTCTCCACGACCAATGGCCCGGAATGTATTCAGGACATTATGGGACATACAAACGACGAGAGAGGGGGGCAAAACCTCCGAGTGACGGGAAAACGCCCCTAGCCTCAGAGGGAAATAGCCAATGAAAGGGGCTGGACAAAACCACTCGAACGAAATGTGACGAAGGCTTGTCATCGACGCGTGAGCTTCTGAAGGTGCTTTCCTTACACTTTCAAGGCGCTGAGTGAGATTGCAATATGCTAGGGCTAGGGTAGGGGTAGGGTCACCATAGTCGCAAGGCCCACGCGGAAATGCGAGTGCACATGCACCAGGGCGACGTTGGGTGCGTAGGGGAATCGTACACGCCTGCCTTTGTCGTCCCACCTTTTTGGGCACCTTTGCCCATCTGTCGAAAGCCGCTCGTCGAGATTGCTCATATAGAAATTCGTCTCTGGTCATTTGACCTGCACGTTGCTGTTGGCGACAAATATATAGCTCTTTGCCACTTCTGATAAGGCACCTAAACGTTCATTTACCGTGTCGTCACGGGCCTCACCCGCGGCCACAAGCGTCGTAGGGCGACGACAGAAGAGCCAGACGAGCCCCCGCGCCGCCGCCTGCGCAGCCACGGACCGGCGAGCGAATGAAGAAGAAGGAGATTGCTAGTCTCTACGTATGCGAAGTCTTAATGTAATTATGAAGATAACGCGAAATATGTTCATATATAAACGTTCATTTGCTGACGCCAGAGTGACCGCCAAGTCGGCGTTGCAAAAGCCATTGTTTTGATTGGTCGTCCACAGCAGCGTTGCTTTTTGGCCCCAGTTTCGGTCGCGGCGTTTCAGATATTCACTCGGCTTATGCGCGCCCCCAGTGTCCACTTGATCGTGCAGCCGCCGTCGCGTGCCGAGTCGCTCCTCGATTGGCTCGGTCTCGCGTACCTCCTCTTCTCGCTCGTCCTCAGTGTTTATTGTGTCTTGCTCTTTGGCCCATACACGTCCAACCGCTTTTTCTGGCCCGACTTTGACACCGATTCCAACGTAACGCACGCACTTGGCTGGCGCTTCAACATGGAGCTCGGTGTCACTTCGGCGCTGCTCCCAGCACCGTTTTCACTCAGCACCGCCGCTGTCCGTCGTACGACATCCGAGGACGTCATTTGCGCCATCTACCCCCGACTAGTGCTGCATACCGATTTAGCAACGATCGAAGCCGGCATTGCGGGCCTCCGCCGTCTCTCGAACGTCCTTGTCATGTACCTTCCAACGTCCTATTGCTTTGTCGACTTGGCGCGGCGATGGTCGCTTGCGCACACAGCCGCGCGGGACAGACGCTGCCGCGCGCTCTATGCAGCCAACGGCGCGGTGGTTTTTGAAACCACCTTGCGGAATGTGGACCTACCCTCGTGGCTCCAGCAGCACAGTGCATTGGCCATGGAGCGGATTGGGTATGGCGTTGCGTCGCTACCTGGTGGCACCGAATGGCTTAATACCATGGACAATCACTCGGTCGTATCGATGCCGATCGAAGCAGCGATCTGGCGCACGGCAGGCCTTGCCTACTATGACGTGAGCTACTCGAACCGGGTCGTCCACGGTCTCGACGAAGCCATTGCGATCACCAACGCACTCGGCTACGAAACGCAGTTTAGTATCAAGGCGCTTACCCAGTTCATACCGCGCGGTGCGTGGACGACTTCGTACCTGCAATCTGTCCTTGGGTACGATTTAGCCGCGCTCCAGACCAACCAAAGCCTCGTTCGATCCTCGGCCCTGTTTTTCGGCCATACAATGCCCAATCAAATCGAAGCGTACGTACTCGGGTACCCGCTCAATGCGCTGCAGATGGCCGTGCACACGTACCTTGGACCGTTGGCGTCCGTCGACCAGCGATGGGTGCCACCGCCGATGCGTCTCGTCGATGCTGTGCAGCGTCTCGCTGGGACCATCGCTGCAGCGCTGAGTCAAGATACGACATTGCTCGCTGCCTACGAAGCGATTCCGCGGCTGCTGCTGACCCCGACCCCAACAACGTGGGCCGACCTGTTGTTTTACAGCGGTAGCCCTCTCTGCTTGTACGGATCACCGGGGCCGTTTGCTCTCGAAAGCTTCCGCTTCGACGACGCCTGTGACGTGCAACGACCCTTACAGATACAGCTCGCGCCGCTCTCGAGCCTCTTTGCGATGGCGGTTCTCAATGGAACTGTGGAGGATGGGGCGTGCTTGTTGTGCCCCCCGCCGCAACGCGCCGACTGCCGACGCCACTTACAGGCCGTTCAGCTACTTTATACACGTCTGCAGGCGCGTGCGCTGATCCGCGTTGAGAGCAATGTCGTGTCGGACGCGGACGATGTCTCCATCCTGCAGATGGTCGCCAACGCATCGACTCCAAATGACATTCAAATGGCCACCGCCGCCGTCCTGGAGGGTCCGTGGACTTTCTTTGGGCTTGGCAGTTTAGTTGACTGGGCTACGATCTCACGAGAAGTCGTCGTATTTGAAGGTGACGTCGCAACACTGCGTCTTCTGTCGGCCATGTCTATGCCGGTGAGTCAAGACCTGCCAAAGCGCGACGGCATGGGCAGCTCGGCCATCTATCTGTGGTATGCGTCGGCCTTGGTGTCACTGGGCCTCGTCCTTGTCGCATGTCTTCTAGTGTGTATCAAGATACATCGGCCGCACTTGGCGTCGCGGTGGTGGCTCTTCTCACCGATTGTTGGTCCCGTGTGGGTTGGCCGAAGTCTCCTCCTCGTGCGCAGCGGCACGGCGCTCATCTGCTTGGCCACCGCACCTTTGGATGCAAACGTTCAGACGACGCTCCTTCAGCTGGTGCCAGCTCCCCGGTCGCTACTTGCATCAAGTATATTGTCGGGCGAGACGCTTTGGCTATCGTACCTATTCCATGAGCTTTTGCAGCCTGTGTGCCCACGCCTACCATCGCACGTTGTGCACGTTAGTGCCAGCCTTGCTTGGCTCAGTGTCCTCGTTCTCGACCACTACTGGCCGCCAAGTGGGATCGCGAGCATCTCGCGATCGTGTTATGCAGTCGACATGGATGCCTTGCTCTACTGCGGTAGCGGCACTCTCGCCATAGGGCTTCCAACCCGCATTCTCGCTCTTCTCGCAGTGCACGCAGGCATTGTGCTTGGTGTCATTGGGGGCTGTCGTACTTTCTGTCATCACTCCAGGGGGGCACCCCCATCACTGCATTTCTCGGCCGCCGCCGTCCATTGCCTGCCGGCGCGTACGCTGTGCTCGGGGGCCCCACTAAGTGCCGTCACAGCGGGCATGTGCGGGCTCTTTCAGTACGCGTGGCACACCCGCCATTATCTGTTCAATAGCAAACTCTGGCACCACCTACCGTCGCCGCAGACAACAGTGCCATTTGCCGTGCCCGATGACATATCGTCCAAAGTGCTGTCGATGGGGGTGCTACCGCCCCCGCCGCGCACGACGGTCGTGCGGCACTGGCTCGGCGTTGGCGTCGGCTTGACGTACCTTGTGCTGACGCTGCTTGGCAACGTCACGTACCTCTCGATCGTGCTAGAGAGCTTAGCCAACGATTTTATGTGGGCGGGCTTCAACAGCTCGGGCGTGTACCCGTTTTTGGCCAATCAACTCAACCAAATCCTCGACACGACCAACGACAGTCTGGTTGCACTTGCCGACGGCACGTACGCCGACACGACACAGGCGTACGACGTACCGGATGCGAGCATCCTGTTTCCGCCCACGTCGGCCCGACGTTGGCTCTACGCACCGTCGCAGGCCTTGGAGGACATTGTCAGTAGCCTTCGAGCCATGGATCCATGTCGCTTGCCGTGGATGTCGACACAGTACTGCTGGCTGGACGTGCGTCGTATATGGTCCATGGCGTCCACGTTGCATCGACAAGCGCGGTGCGAGACTGGGGCAATGCGAACGAATGGTGCCGTGTATCTGGAGACAGGACTCCGGAATCTCAACGACTGGGATGCCTGGATGCGCTGCTGGGGCACGTCGTTTGAGATTGGGTTTCAACGGCACCTGGAAACGCCGCTCGAAGGGAGAGAGTGGCTCACGACAGTATATATATATATATATGAACGTGTTTCGCGTTATCTTCATTATGACACAAAGACTTCGCATACGTAGCGCTACGCCTGAATGCGTGGGAGTTGGCACCAGCGCTGGGTCGTTGGGAGTGAGTTGCGTAGGGAGAGTTCCATCCCGTGGTGGACCCCACTCGCCGAGTCATAGCTCGCGCGAGGTCGTACGCAGGCTCCTGTACTCGGACCGCCCGACAGAGGAGTGCAAGCCGTCGGGTGTGTTTCAAACGACAGTACCGTCAGCAATGGTCCACACTTCGATCCTCGATGAAGTCGACTATTGGCAAAAGCATGGTATTTCCACGTACCAACTCCAGTGGCAAAACTACAAATCGGTCGGGTGGAGCGACGGGTTTACCATCACAAATGCTTTGGGTATGACGTACGCGCTGCCGCTCGGGC